AACTCGGATGATCTGATATCCTCGTGTTGGTGTTGTTCCCAGACCATCATGAAAATGTTGTTCCAGGTTCAACATTGCAAGTGACCAATCACATTGTTGTGACGTTATTCTTTTGCGCGCCAAGCCATTCGTGCATTTATGAAATTCCAATGTTGCAAGGACAATATCAATTCTGCTTACTGTTTATTAAAGGGTTACGGTTAGTGTTAGGGTCAGGGTCCGTTGATCGGCGGAGAGAGGCGGTTTCACGCAGCTTTAGTACAGTTTTTTGTTTTACGCCGGTTTTTCCCGAAGTCGCAAAAGTATGACGTCACAACATTCTGACTGGTCACTTGCAATGTTGATCCTGGAACAACATTTAGTATGATGATCTGGGAACAACACCAACACGAGGATATCAGATCAACCGTCAAACTCAGTTCTGTTTCCCAATCATTTTCTTACCCAGTGAGCCCTTGTCCGAGTGCTCTTCTGTCCCTCTGCCTTTCAGACTCTCATGCATGTGACCCATTTCCTCCTGGTCAGTTAGACATCTTCAACCAAGTGTTCCCATTAACGACAAACTCTTTCCTTGAAATGAATTCCAAATGATTTTTCCATGTTTAACTACCACCATATTGTTTCACATATGGAATAAGGGTGGCAGATACCTACTCCACCAAAGGGAGTAGCTCTGTATGTTTGATGTGGCAGAATTTTTAACACCAGACGCCCTTCCTGACACAAAGGGATTTGTGTTTCCAGCTGGAATTGAACCAGCAACCCCTGACTTGCCAAGCAAATGTGTAACTCATAACACCATAGAGACACACACAGATGGGGAAATGGTCTTCTGTTGAAATGGGTTGTTTCTTTTCTCTAAACAGAGCTGTGCCTATTTAAACTAAAAAAAAGTCAAAAAAATAAAAAATTCTATTTTGGTCTCATTCACAGCCTTCGGTCTTTTTCATGTGATATTTAACAAACTGCAAAGGAGCAGCGGTGTTCTTTTTGAAGAGCAGTGGCTTTCTTCTTCCAGCCCTGCCATGTAGACCATTGTTACTCACTGTACTGCTGATGTTGGTTTACATGTCTCCTTTGTTATAATTCCTGCAGAGGTTAGCTGTGGATCTGAATTTCCTCTATTAGTTCAGAATCTGTCTGAATGTGGGTTTTTGGTACTGAAGCTCCTTTTTACTTTTTTTCCACCCTGGTGAGTATCAGCAGCTCCTTTGTAGTGCCACAATTCACATCCTCTGACATGCGTTATGAAGAACAGGCTTTGATAGAGGCCTGTTGTCCTGCTGTTTAAATAAAAACATGGTGCCCACTCAGACCTGAAAGTCAATTTACTGATGGAAAAATCTGCAGTTTTACTTTCAAATGAACTGCCAGTCCAAAAGGTTCACATACGTTTGCCCCCCCACCACCAAAAAAAAAAAAAAAAAATCTAGATTTTTCTCTGTAACTGAATAACCAAGCCTAATATTTTGTCTTTTACCTTGTTTGCTAAATTGGATGTTCTCTATCGACTTTTCTGACCTGCATTAATATCTGATGAAAATTTAATTTTTTTTTAATTTTTAAAATGGCTCTCCAACTGTTAATTAAACAGTCTATTACAATAACAATGTGTCTGTCCAGTGCAAATCCTTTCATTTGTACATGTCCATGTGGCACACTATGTCTATTATGTGCTTACTAGTGCAGGTACATGAATTTAAATGAGGTAGAGTGTGTCGAATTGTCTTTGTGTGAGTGCATACTGTCTGTTGACACTATATTTGTATATATAAAGAAAATTACAGGTTAACAGGGATGGGGCCTGAAGAGACCCAGAGGGCTCGCTCATTATGAGCACATTGCATTCAAATGCAAAAATACTCTATTACATTTATGTCAGTACAGTAAGAAAAATACACTTTGAGAGTAACAGTACTCAGTGCAGGCAGTACTAGAGTAAAAAGTCCAGTGTCCTTACCGCAAAAATATGTAGTATGAACAAATTCAATTAGACTTTACCAGCATGGTTTCCAAAAAGGAGGCATGCCAGTGTTAGCCTCTCCAGCTATTCTGATAAACCCAATAAAGCAGGAAAAGGTCTGGCCATTAAAGCACAGCTAAAGCCCTGAAAAGCAGCTTTAATCTAACAATTGACTCAGTGTAGCTATTAGAAGACACGCAACTGCCTATTTGCAAAATTCTCTGTAATTTCTAAATTATGTCTGTACACTTTTTCCAGAAAGTTTCTCCCTGCTGTGTGTGACCTTCTTGGTGTGAAGTGATTCACAGCATGGTGGGTAGCATGAAGATGTGAGCAGATTCAAGTCCACTTGCATAAATTAGTCCAGCTCCCTCCCTGTCATATTTTTTTTCAACCGGGTTAGTGGTGCTTGACCCTGTTCTCAGTCGATAGGCTTGCAGAGAATGCAAGAGTCTTGATAAACGGTGCTGGGCAGTAACCTCTCGAGGGATGTGCATGTGTGAGTGCGGTTTTCACACACAGAAACTGCTGCTGCTCTGCTGACATGGGTCACAGTGGCAGGTTGGAGAAGCAGGATGAGAAAGACGTAACTGGGGTCAGGGTCACTGACAGCAGAGGAGAGTCAGCTAACAGTGTTGGTGACACAAGGGTTTTTGTTTGACACGCTAGCATAAATGGGATTTGGGATAGGTGCTGTGTTATTCTGTGCAAGGTGCTGTAAAAGTCCATTTGTGTAGTAAGAGTTGTAATGCATTTAGCTGTATTTAGCCATTGCATTTAACTCTCCATCTCCCAGGTTGACGTGCCACCCAGTGAAAAGCGTTTACAAAGGGTAAAACAAACAGAAGCATCCTGCTTAAGAAATCATCCATCCTGCAAATGGAGCCTGAGTTTGGACAACCGTGTCATACTTGTTACAGTTTATAACCAACCAAGACACTTTACTATAGAAAACCTCGGGTATCTCATATTTCCTGTTCAGAAGTGTATGAGTCAATATAAAATTACTTAATGCCAAAGTGTGCACAATCACAGCTTGAGCAGAGTTGACTTCCCATCAAATTAGATTTTTGTATTTTTTTCACCCTTCATTATGTGTAAATGAAAGCCAGTGGTCCCGGCACTATTTACAGTTTCACTGAAAGTGTGTTATGTTGCTTTCAAGTAAGTTTGAACTCATATATTTTTAATTCTCCTCAGATAAATTGCATTCAAGCTCTGTAGCCTTTTTTACTGGGTACATCTCTACAATCGAAGTACATATTAATACAACAGCTCTGCCACATATTCGGTTCCATACCTCTTCATATACACACTCACAGACATTGTGTTGGGTAAACCTTACTAGTACAGGTGCTGGAAACATTCCTCAGAGATTTTGGTCCATATTGACATGCTGGCTCTGCACAGTTGCTGTGGATTTGTTGGCTGTACATCCATGATGTGAATCTTCCAATCCCCACCACTTCCCAAAGGTGCTCTGTTGGATTAATATCTGTATAACTGTGGAGGTCATTTCAGTACAGTAAACTCGCTGTCATGTTTGAGAAACCAGTCTGAGATTATTTGAGCTTTGTGAGGAAGTGTGTTACTCTGCTGGAAGCAGCTATTATTAATGTGTACACTGCTGTTGTGACATAGTCAGCAACAATACTCAGGTATGTTTAAATAATGTGCAGTTGGTACTAGTGTATAGATAGATTGTTTGGTTGATTGTTTGGGCCATTAAAATTTGCACTGTGGGATACTTCACAGTTCATCATGCTACTTCTATCAGCAATCACATCATCAATAAACACCAGTAAACTGGTTCCACTACCAGCCATACATGCTCATGCCATACTTTTGTCTTCACAATGTCAGATGACGTGGTTTGGCTCAGATCGTGAGCTGTTTCTCTAATTTTTCATACTTTTGTCTTTCCCATCATTCCTTAGTTTAATTAGTCCAGTTTCCAGAACTACGCTGGCTCCAGGTCGAATCAGTGATTTCCACTTTGTCGTAAACCTTCTGTATTTCTATTCATGAAGGTGTCTGTCTTGTAGACTTTCACAGTGATACACCTGCTTCCTAAATAATGCTCGTTTTCTTATCCATGAAAACACTTCTATGCACACTGAGTGTCTTCTGTGGTCTTTTCATGTTGCTGAGCTGGTCAATACATTCATTCTTTTTAACAATGCACTTCTAAATTTCTTGCTGTCTGTCTGATAGGTTTGTTTGGGTTTTTCAGCCTAATGATGACCTCCATGACAGCCACTAACTTCTCGTTCACCCTCATATTTAAAAATACAAAAAAAAGCTATGAAATACAAGTTCATCACTTTGAATAAATTTCCAGTGTTATATCTACTTTATTTATCGAGAAATAACAAGGTGCCTTACCTGGACATGAAATTGCGTGTCAGTCAGTTTTATGAAGTCTGCACTCTGATCACATATGGATTAATTTGATTTATAATCGTCTGTGGTATCATACTGAGGAAAGAGGACAGCGTAGAACATGCTGCATGCTCCATTTCCACATTCATCATTCAAAATTCTATTAGTTTTTCCTTCCCACTGTCGCCAAATGCTCGCTCAAAGGGGGTCGTTTGATTGTGGGGGTTTCTCTGTATAATTGTACGGTCTTCACCTTTAGATGACTGCTCCTGTTATTGTATAAATGCAGATTTCTAATGTTGCAGGGGTCCAGTGGGTGTGTGTGCCTGTGTGACTGAGTGAAAAAGAGAGAGAAATCTTTTAATAATATTTTGAGTGAACACAATTTTTTTTAATTTTTAAAAGGAAGACGGAGATAAAGAAACCTTTACATTAGCCTGGCTCACAACAGAAAACCCAAACGTCATCGTCCCCGCGCTGTTATAAACGGATTAGTTCGACATGAGTGGCAGCGTGACTTCACCGCATCACTTTTAATGCTAACATTTGTCAGAGCTTTTACGATCCCCCACCCACTAAACGTCACATCCCTGTGGCTGGGGCTGTTAAACACAGTTTCTCCTGTGCTTCACTTTGTTGGCTCTTCCACGCGGACAGTAAGTCGCAATTAAAAGCGCACCTGAAGTGAGCAGTGGATCCTGAAGCTCGCTAAAAGCGCACATTATTTAGCCTTTCTTCCCTTTGTACCAGCATGAAAGTGTGCAGCGCGGTGTTTGAGCTTCAGCTGTGAGAAAATTCAGCAGAGTTTATACATATTGCTTAAATCCCGTTGTGAGTAGCCCGGTGTCACACATGGCTCTCCGGGCGGTCTGGCTCCTGTTCGCGCTGTCCTGTGTCCTGAATGCGCGCTCCTGCTGCGCTTATACCTGTCCGGCCATCTGCCGGTGCACCGCCGACTCGTTTCAGTGCAGCAAAGAGACTCAGCTGGCCTCCCGCACAGGACCAACATCCGTGCTTCGACTGTAAGTAACCCAACTTTATGCTCTAGCGTCCACGCGAGTCTAAAATCACTGTAATCCACCTGCAGAGGGTCTGTGGCGTTTCATGTGACCCCCACCAGTGCCATTATACTACTTTATTAACTTTTTCCTCTTTTTTTGAGACTTATTGGCTCTGACCTCTCACTTACTTGAATATATTCTCTTTACTGTTACTGTAATATTTCTCCAAGGACTTGTTTATAATGGGTGTAATTTTGAAGGATAACCTAAAGAGACAGTTTTGTGTTTTCTCATTTTCTTTTATACTTAGCCATATAAAATGTGGATTTAACTGCCAATGACTTTTGCAGAAGGCTCACTCATCTGCCCTTGAAAAGAGTTCCCTCTCATGCCTTCAAGGAGTTGATCAACATTACAATAATGTAAGTTTTTTTTCCCTCTCATACAGAGGTATTATAGGTGGGCAAATTTATGTACTTTACTTAGTGAAGGACTAGAGCAGTATTAGTTCTACAGGACAATTACATCCATCGCTTTTTTCTTTTTCGTTTTACTTCAAAATTACTCAAATGCTTTTTGCTTGGAAATAAAGATAGAATAATTATGATGTGTTTAATCCTTTGATCATTTCTTTATCAGGTAATCAACAGATGTTGTCATGTTTACCGGGTTAATGGAGGGTAATTTGGAAAAAATTAACATCTTTTTGTTATTTCCTAATATAACTGCTTCACTTTGATCTGTTGTTGTTGAGTTTACTACATGTACCAAACTCATTTAAAAAATCAGCACAAGTAATTACATTCAATTTTCCCATGTAAGTTTTTTCTACATAAATACAATGTAAAATGTGTAATGTATCATTTATTTATAACATTTATTGGAGTATGATCAAATGAAAGTTTACACCAAGCACATTTTCCTTAGAGATTAAATATTTGAATAAATAAACCTTTGATTTTATATGTTTCAGTTACAATTTACTCAAAATCATTGCCTCATGTTTATTGAGAGTGAAAACTTTTGAGGGAAGAAATCAGTCTTTTCAGCAACCTCTAAACTAAAGGGTTCATTCACCACATGCTCATGTCATGTGGTCCCATGCGTATTATCCTAATGTCCTGTTTTCATCAAAGGTAGATGCTTTAGAGTAGTACAAAACAGATCCCAGTTTAGTGCAAAAGAACCATGCATCTCTTGTTCATGTCAAAGTGCATCCATCTACTATTATGCTGTAAAAATTGAATCTGAATGGGAGGAAAAACCCTTTGATGTATAAAAACAACATAAGAGCAAAAAGTACAGTTTGTATACACAAAGACGAGAGTTTTTTAACATGATCTGTAGAGACAAATCAAAGATAGCTGCTTGGCCAGCGTAAATGTAGACATGTTCTGGCGCTGGTAAAATGTAAAATAAAAATACCCAAAGGAAATAAATTTCCAAGCAACATTTATTTCAGCAATAAATCATGTAAACTTCCCAGACAGAACAAATCAAATATTCTACTAATATCCCAGCTGTAACTTGAAACCTACCTGACCAAAAGTGCAAACAAATGGCACTACAAGTATAGTCACACCCTATTTCAGAAACACTGCAATCACTTCACCTGTGTGCCATGCACTGAAGTGGCACAAACAAACACAAAAAACAATTAAAGAAGAAATCGTTTACATCTAAAAGCCTGCACACCTGGGGGGGACTTACAAAAACAAAACTACAACTAAATTTAAAAAGAAGGAGAGCTGGAGACAGTCGATAACAGCTTTAAAACAGAAAAAAGTTATCAATTTGAAAAAAAATAATGCAACATGTAATAAAAACAGTGTAAAATAAAGTGGTAAAACGTCAACTATACCTACGACACGATCAGTTTCCTCATGCACAGTAGATCCAGATCTGTATAAATTCAACCATAAAAAGTTGCACCTACAACGCTAAATAATCCAGCTCTAGAAAAAACAACCAAAATCTCTTACCACAAATCATACCCACTCACACCAGAGGCAGTTCATCCACAGGTGATAGCACAGGGTGCCCAGAAATATAAGGGGGGGTAATGAAATTTGCCAACAACAAAACAAAACAGTACACAACTAACCAAAGAAGTTTTTTATTCTAAAAAAGAACAGCAGGTTCTAACGGGTATACTTACCTTTTCTCCAGAAGAATATTTGTTTGCTGACTGAAAAAGCTCATATATACCACCTTTACTGGTACGATCTGTCAAAGATACTCAAATGTTTATTAAAAATCATTTAACTGGGTTTAACTTGCTTTTTCCTAAAGCTGTGCATATAGGTGGGTATAGAAGAATAGAGGTTCTGATGTCTGCTACAGATGTGGGAATTTATTTCCCATCAGTCGGGGCTCAACTTGATCATATTTACAGCTAGACACTCAGTCTTAAAACCGTAGCATTATCCCGAGTTGTTCACAGACTGAGCTTTATTATTTATTTCACAACAGTCTGATGAGTAAGTAAAAAACATTTTTAGCTGCTAATGAGAGCGCTCAGTGGGTGAGCCGGCTGGTGTTGAGGGCGTTTGACTTTGCTCTGCTGCTCAGGGACAAGCCTTATCGGTCTCAGATACATAAAGTACTCGCATGTGATAGGTTCATGTTCAGTTTAACCTCCATCGCAAAATACTGTAGTCTTCAGTGATAAAATAAATTTGAGACTGAACGAAGTTAGTCGTAAAAGCTGTCAAAACCCGTGTCAAGGTGGAATGACACGAGGACCTGCTCGTCCTTTGTCACCGATGACGCATCCTTGAAATCACAGCACCACTTCATGTAGATGATCATGCGCAGAGGCCTTTTTTCCAGAGCTGTAAGCAGTAATTACAACACTATACATAATGCAATCAGGAGAGGGGATAAAAGAAAACAAATAATATGCGGTACAGATGGAGTCCTTTAATTGTTTCTCGACTAGAAATGGAAGCCGAGCGACGTTATTTTAAGAAAAGCGCAGGCTGATTACAGTAGGGCCGCAGAGTAAAACGATGATTGCAAAAGGAAGATGGAGAGCGTCTCGTAAAAAGAAGTCAGCCATCAGAAAACAAAGTGTTCAAGGACAAATCGGGAAGACTTGTTGACTTTGTTTGTCTCGGAACGCTTTTGTTTTGTCCTGCTTTTTAAAGATCTTCACTTAGTCTTCCTGGCCTAGATGCATCACTGATGTATTTCTGAAGCTCTTGGTGGTACCTCTGTTTTGCCATCAATCATCTCTGTCCCATTTCTAACGCAACAAGCACTTGTGTCACTTTGCATAACTAAAAATATTGTTAATATGTCGATGGATGTAGAGCCTTTCTTGTGTGTGCGCTACAGTGAGATCTCCCAGAGCGACTGCATCACACATATACAGACACACGCCTTCCTCTCCCTCTACAGCCTGGCACAAATGTAAGTCACACTTTACACTCCACCACATGTCCCATTCAAACACGATGAAAGCAATTACTCATTTGAGCAGCTGGTAAATGATTTGCATTTCCTTTAGGTTTCACGGGATTAGTCTGTCATTATAAAGCGACGTGTTTAATCCTTGACTTTTTGAGCAGCTGACGTATGAATGAGGGGTTTTTTTTTTTCCATGCTTGTTTGTTGACAGCCACTGACAAGAAAATTGTGATTACTGATATGTTTCCTGTAGCTCAGTGCAGAATATCAACAGCCTGAGATTTATTGAAAAAGGCGCCTTCACTGACCTGCCCAAGCTGGAATATTTGTAAGTCGCTTGATTTTTATGTGCACATTTCATATAAACTTAGCAGGTGGTTAAATATGAACCAGACATGGGATTCATATCATTGCTGAGTTTACCTGTTAAAGTCTGTGCCTGTTTGTGTTGCAGCAAGTGATGCTCCCTCACTGTGTAATACCATAAATGCACAATTAGCAAATGGCTTAATGCTGCAAAATAGGAAGAGAGCCAATGAGATACTATAATGTTACATAAATGTTATTGATAAAAACAATTGTGATTTAGTGAGCAGAGCAACTCACAAAGAGGCAGCAGAATAATGATGTGTAGCTCTTACTTATTTCATGTTGAAAGCTATACACAAATGTTACCAAGCCTTAAATAGAAGTGACATGGGTGCTAGTTCAGGTGTGAGGACTGTTAAGATTAAGGAAGAGTGCAGTTATCAACAGTATAAATCAAATTAATGTGAATTCACAGATGACTGACTATGAAACCAACAACACCACAGATCCCATACCTAAGAATTTCATATGACTCTACAGTACTGTGAAAAAGTCTCATGCCAACCCTTTTCTTTATATTATGCTTCCAAGGAGCCAGACTGTCTTGTATTTTTTAAAGTAGTCTTGAGCAATAGTTCTACAATCATTCAAAATATTTTTTAACCAACAAAGTGATTCCCAAAGTGGCAGGCCTAAAAATATATCTATAGCCAATGAATGGTATTTGAAAGTCATGTCCTTACAAAATATGAAAAAATTCAGCAAAGCCCAGACAGAGGATCAGAGAAATGCATCTGATCCATCTACTATTCTCTCAAGCCTCATCAGAAATGGTATTAGTGAAGGAGTGGCTGTTGAGTCATTCATAAAGAAGGAGAAAAGGTTGAGATGTGCCAAATTATGCAAGAACTGGAATGAAAGTCATTTGCAACAGGTCTAATGGAGTGATGCATTCAAATTTGAAATTTCTGGTTCAGATTGTTGTCAGTATGTACATAAGAGGTCTGGAGAGAGATACAACAGCGAGTGTCTACAGCCATCTGTAAAACATGGTGGAGGCTCTGCCATGATTCTGGGCTTGCCAAAATTGATGGACTTATAAACACAGAAAAGTACGATCTGGAAAGCATTTGATTGGCAACAGCTTGATTTTTGAGCATGACGATAATCCCAAGCACACTGCCAATGCAGTAAAAGCATACCTGAACAGAGAAATACACAGTGGAACAGCATCAGTCAAGATTTGGCCTCCCCGGAGCCCGGACACCAACATGACTGAAGTAGTTTGGGATCACCTTGACAGAAAACAGAACAAAAGACAGCATCCAAAGGAGAGTTTTGAATGTCCTTTTTGAAGACTACTTAAAGAAATTACAAGAAGACAGTTCAGGGTTGAAGAATAAAGGTGGTCATACCCGATACTGACTTTCAAGCTCATTAGAACTGTGCAAACTCTGTTTTTTCCTTACATTCTGTATTTGTATGTTTGCACATGCCTCTACAATTCACTGCACCTAGAAAGAAAACGGGTGGCTCAAGACTTTGCATGGCACTGTACATTTTCTGGGTACTTTAATATAAACTTTATAGAAAGTTGAGACTATTGAATGTTGAATCCAATGGCTTAATGGCCAGGCCTTTTGTTTTGTTTTGATTTGGGGAGGGGCTGAACAGCTGCTGGTTAGATTAACACACTCATGTTTGCCTCACGATGATACTATGTTGTTCCTGTTGCAATTAGCAAAATCATAATGCCTAAATCCATGAGAAAATATCTAATAATGTTCCCTATTGACTGATCTGCACCTTCGTTGCATCCTAATTAGCACATGTTAGCCTCCAAACCAGCTTTGCTAAGATTCTGTACATGGTAAACATTGTACCTGCTAAGCATCCGGCTTGTTTGCATTGTGTATAAGCGCAGCCTTGCATACATGTAGGTAAACACCTACACACAGGTTGAAGGCTCAACCGAAGCAGAATCAACATTTGCACAACAAATAAGAAAAAAAATAATCCACTTGACCGACTGCAGACTCCTACAGAAGCACATTCACATTCACTCCTACAGGATCACAGAACAAACTAAAATAGGTTGCACAAAAAAAACAATATGTTGCGTTAACGCTGAAAATAATTCTACTGTAGACCAATTTAAAAAGTTGTGTTTCAAGGAAGGCAGGAAGAAAAGTTTGATCTTTGTTCAGTTCCGATGACTTCCAAGCAGCAGTCAAATGATTGTTTTGTTTGTCATGGTGGGTGACCAGGCTTCTGAGACATAATCCAAATATTACTGTCCGAACAGGCAACTGCAAGTCCTGTGTAAGTACTGGCAGGTTGATAAACACAGGACTGAATTTGTATCCAGATCAGACTATTTACTGTGACAGGAAAATATTGTTATTCACAAGGCAGCACAGGATATAGAATATAAAGCTTTTCTAGCAGTATAGTGGGAAACTACACAAGCTTTGTTTGTAAATTTCAATTTATTGAGGCTATAAGCTAGGGGAGGTTGGGAGGGTAGAAAATGTTGCTGCTGTCAGTGAGAAACAGAATTATGGCTAAGAGGTGAACAAGACACTAAAATCCACTATTGACTAGGGAAGAAAATAATAGATTTGCAAAATTCAGTTTTGAGTCTTTCACTTCAACTTCTTCAATTTTATGAAATTGAAAAAGTTGCAAATACTTCTCTTTGTAAGTCTGAACATAATACAGCTGCACTGATATTAGAGCATTTGTCTATATTGTTCATACATCCCTACTTTGTAATTTTGGGTTTTTTATGATTGTGACACTTTCTTGTTACCTACAAACCACCATTATACTTGTGTTTTTTTAATCTTGAAGCTCTCATGACCTCTATTATGCTTTGCTATTACTATTCTATCCAATATAAGGTCACTGTGGAGATATTTTTCATTTATTTGGCATTCACTGCCGCAAATTAAATGAAACTTGTCAAAGGTCATGGACAGAAAGTGATGTTTTCTAGAAGAGTCTTCTGAAATGTTGCAACTCTTCCTCCCTCCCACCCTGTCTTTTTTTTTTTTTTTTTGCTTTGAAGATTTCCTCTTATCTGCTCACGATCATCTGTCTCTGCTGTTTGCCATCACAGGAGCATCTCTAACACGGGCATTGCACACTTCCCAGACTTCACAACCATCTCTTCCCTGTCGCCAAATATTATCCTGTAAGTAATCCTGTTTAAAGAAATAGTGTGTTTCCGAACTGGATTAGCGTCTTTCTGCATGCTGCAAAACCGCAGGTGCTTCACGTCATTAGCTCTGTTTGTTCTGTTTTACTTTTATTCCGTCGATATCGCGATGCCACCAACCCTGTAACAAATCCTTCAACTCTGTCACACTTCATCATACTGCTCTCTTTTTTCTTCTTCTTCTACGAATATACATATTTTTTTTCTAACTGATAATTAAACCCAACAGCCTGAGTGAGCGTTATCTTCTCTGTGTGCAGAGACATGGCAGACAACATGGAGATTGACATCATTCCTGCCAATTCCTTCCAGGGTATCACAGAGGAGTATGTTGACATGTGAGTAAGGGAACTAAAGTCCTTTTTTTCCCCCACATCAAAGCTAAAAGGAACTATTTGTTACTATTCTCTAGGAATGTTTCTTGATGCATATTTATAAGTCTCTGAAATTTCATGTTCATTTATCTGACCTTGGTGATTGGTGCTTCTGACAGCTAAATAAATTCAAACGTTGTGTCCTTGACAGGAACCTGGTTAGAAATGGCTTCAAGGAAATAAAATCGCACGCATTCAATGGGACAAAGCTCAACACGCTGTAAGCATTTTGATCATCAGTATTTAAACAAACAAAAACACCTGAGCTTGACAGTACGCTGTTGGGGAGTGCAACGTTTAGATTGAGGCCTTTCCTTTCCCCCCAATCATGAAAACTGAATGTACCAGTGAACAAACACAATGTAAGACTAAACAAAGATTACATTCCTTTGTTTTCTTTGTCCCAGTAATGCTGAATGTTGTTGTTGATGAGATATGCGCAGGCACCCTTTTTATAAACCCAATGCTCATCACTGTCAGTGTGAAGCTGAGCAAACAAAAAGTTTTGTTTCGCTCAGTGTTGTGTGCATTATACTGTTTCTTTGTCTTTTGTAGAGTTTTGAGAGACAACTGGTATCTCCGTAACATTCAAGAAGATGCCTTTGAAGGAGCCACAGGTCCAACTGTTCTGTAAGTAATTTGAGTTCATGAAACTCCCCACAAGTGGATTGGTAGTGACAGTTCCACACAAAATTATCTCCATAGACTGCAGCTCATCTCAGCCTGAAAGTGTCTTTCAGTGCATTGTTTTGATGTCTTGTTTTAATATATCAATTCAGCTTTATTTATATGGTGCCCAATCACAACAATAGTCGCTTTATATGGTTGGGTAAAGACCCTACTGTACTTTAATAGAAAGAAAACTCCAAGAATCAGACAACCCCCTATTAGCAAGCACTTGGTGACAGTGGGAAGGAAAAACTCCTTGTTAACAGGAAGAAAGCTTCAGCAGAACCAGGCTCAGGGAGGGGCAGTCAACTGTTTCAGATGTTTGGGGTAAGCCCAGGAAGACAAAAGACAGGGTCACTTGATCCAGTCCTTTCTATATGAAAACTTTAAGCCTAATCTTGAAAGCAGAGGGGGCGTCTGTCTCCCAAATCCAAACTGGGAGATGGTTTCACAGAAGAGGGCCCTGAAAGCTGAAGGCTCTGCCTCCCATTCTAGCAGTCAGGGAGAAGCGCTCTGTTCGAGTGACATAGTGCTATGACATCTTTAAAAATAAATCACAATATTAATATCACCACTTTTACTTTATTTTCAGTCATTTTTTTCTTTTTTTTAAGACATGATTAAGCAGAGAAGTAGCAATTTAGCATGCAATCCATTTATGTTTAATGTTGCTATTCATCATTACATGGCTGAATTGATGTATTTTATACACTGTTTTGCAGTTTAAGCTGCAAGTTGCAACTGGATGTACAGCAATCATGTGCAAAGAAGTCCCCTCTCCCTGTGAAAAATACTGAAATTGCATAAAAACCTCAAAAATTGCACTTGAGTTAGTGTATTTACTTTTCAATGCTGTGTTCAATCAACAGAATTAAAGAGAGTTAAAGTGATTATATTTCAGCTAGGTCACAAAGCGAGATTGATATTCATAACAGTGCTTATTTTATTGTATAAACATTAGGGTAGTGACAGTCTGTCTGTGTAAACAACCAACAAGGCAGGCAGGACTGCTGAATACTGATTAGCAAGCAAATAGCTCAATCTGCGGTGCATGCAGCTTGCAAGGTCTCTGATTGCAACCAACTCTGTGGTTGATGTTTTAAAAAAAAAAGAACTTTCTTTTGAGTAATTTTTGGATCTTTTGGGTTCTATAGATGTAATAAATATTTGGGTAAAGGTAATGCAGTCAAATGAATGACGGGAAGGAGATCCTGAATGTCTTTTTGCTAAAGATAAAAATGTATTCAGACAGTAATTGCAACCTCTATTCTCATAAAGTTGCTTTCTCGTGAAAGCGCATCTCTTCAGAGGCAGCATGATTTACTCGTTGGCTGATAAATATGAAAATGAATTAGGGCTTTGTTGCCACAGTCTCCAGAACTCTGTGAACACCTGTCGATGATTCAGTGAATTTGCCAGAAAGCATGTCTTCCACTGTCTACATCAAACGGCTTCTCTTGGATCGAGTTGCTTTGTAGCCCTCGGCAGAGTTTAAATGACCCATGAAAGACAACGAGACAGACGAAAGCTTTTCTAGTGCCTGCAAGTAGTTCAATGAATTTTAATCATAGTTGTTTTACTAATCATCGTTGAAATGTATGTCTGCATTCTCTCCGTGTTTGCCTTTCAGGGATGTTTCCTCCACGGCTCTGAGGTCTCTCCCCCCTAATGGATTGAGGCAGGTTAAATTTCTGAAAGCCAGCCATGCCTATGCTCTAAAGAGCCTCCCTCCACTGGAAAGTCTAGCTGAACTGCTGGAAGCGGAGCTCACGTACCCGAGCCACTGCTGCGCCTTCCACACATGGCGGCGGAAACAAAGGTAACCGACAGATGCTCCCAGAGATTCAACAAATCCATTCACATCTGCATAAACAGTCGAAAGCTCTGTCCAGTGAATACAGATCATCAGTAGGTGGATCATTTGCACTTGAGCTTGTTGATATTTTGAGGGGTTTAACCATTTTATTCCTTTCTCTTCTTTAGGGAAAGTGCCTTAAAGAACTTGACCAAGTTTTGTGATCTGATGAATACAGAAATGTAAGTTTTTCCCTAGTCACTTAGAAAGTCTCCATTTTGTGTCTTAAACCTTGATCTTACTGGTTGCTACACATTTTGTATGTGAAGATGCTCCCTTAATATGCCAGGAGCCCAATTAAGCCAGTGTGCTTTATTTTTTTTTAAAAACAGTCCAAGTCTGGGAAGAAGAACAACAGCAACAGCTTGCTTCTGTTCTCCCAGAAATGTCCCAATTATACAGTTGGTGGTCAGAGGTTTACAGGCACTCATGGGTGAATACAGCATAGAATAAAATAGAAAAATAGCCCTTTGTCATTGTACAACAAAATTTTGGTTTTTTTTGTTCTTTTTGTTTTTAGAATCGAATATGATGGTTGTTTTGGACTTTTTATTTCTTTCAACTGTTCCTTTTCCAAGGTTAAATGATTCTACAGCATACATATTTAATGACTTAAAAAAATAATAATTTGGTGCACAAGTTTGAGCATTTGAGAAAATCCAAAATAAATTAAAAAGGGTCAAAAGTATACACACACACACACACACACACACACACACACACACACACACACACACACACACACACACACACACACACACCTAAATCTTTAAACAAGTGTTGCCGATTGTAAAACAATGTCTTTTAACCTGACGAGGCTAATTAACTTATTGTTAGTAATCATGATCGACTCCAACTGGTCATTTTTCTTTGCCAGCATAAAAATAATTTGACAGCACTCTATAGATTGACCAATACTGAGAACAAGTTATTCAGATGGATCACTGTTTTGCCAAAGTCTGGAAGAAAATCCAAAATGTCACCCTCAAATGAAAGGATGTTCAGAAACAACTCAGAAACCAACAAGGCTCAGGCCGACCATGAACTTGAACCTCCGGAAACAGTGGAAAAACACTGGAAAACCAGTGTCACTCTCCACAATCAAGCAAGTTTCACATCACCACAAACACAAAGTGTGTCGAACAAGACAAAATCAGCACTTTCAAGGTTGGCTGAAATTTGTAGCCAAATGCCTTCTAGACAGGTTTGTAATCAGATGGGACTATCTGTCCACAATGACAAGACGTATGTTTGAGTACTAAAGGTGAAGGTTTCAAACCTAAGAACACCGCAGTAACTGTCAAACATGGTGATGGTAGCATCACACTCTGGAGCCATTCAGCATCCCTTCAAATCAACAGCTAGATGGTTGAAACATGGACAGAATTGGGTATCCCAACAGGACAACAATCCCAAACACACATCAAAACAGGTTTTTGAATCGATAAAACAGGCTAACGATACATTTCTGAAATGGCATTCCCAAAGCCCTGACCACAGCCCTATTGAAAATATGTGGACTATGCTTAAAAGACAGACAGCTATTATTTCGGGTGTATGTATATACACTCTGGGTGGATTAGAGGAAATCCTAAATAGATTCAAACCTGTCATTAAAGATGTATGCTGTTCAATCATTCCACTCTGGAATCACCATGATATTCACACCCACGATGAGTGTATGTAAACTTCTGATCCCAACTGTACCACGCGTACTGTCTCTACTGTCTGTTATTCTAGGATTTTGATGCTAATTTTAACGTGTATTCTTCAGAGATCCGACTGCTGATGACACGAGTCTTATCAATGGCATCAACTTTCAGTATCAAGACCTGGAATTTGACTGTCTTAGCAACCCTTTTGTCAAATGCTCCCCAAAGCCAGATGCTTTTAATCCTTGCGAGGACCTACTGGGCTTTTCCTTCCTGCGCTGTCTCACCTGGATCATTACGGTTTTCGCTGTGGCCGGTAACCTGGCTGTTTTGGTCATCCTGCTAATTGGCCACCATAAGCTCACAGTCTCCAGATTTCTCATGTGTAATCTGGCCTTCGCCGACCTGTGCATGGGGCTTTATCTCATCCTAATTGCCTTCATGGACTACCATTCCCGTCATGAGTACTACAATCACGCCACAGACTGGCAGACCGGTCCTGGATGTGGCATAGCAGGGTTTCTGACTGTGTTTGCCAGCGAGCTATCGGTATACACGTTGACTGTGATTAGTCTTGAACGATGGCATACCATTACCAATGCCATGCATGTCAACAAGAGGCTGCGCATGCATCATGTCACAGCCATAATGGTAGGAGGCTGGGCTTTCTCTCTGCTGGTTGCCCTGCTCCCTCTTGTGGGGGTCAGTAGTTACAGCAAAGTGAGCATCTGTCTGCCCATGGATATCAACACACTCGGCGCTCAGGTTTATGTGGTGGCTGTGCTCATTCTCAATGTTGTTGCTTTCCTGGTGGTTTGTTACTGTTACATATGCATGTATCTCAGTGTTCACAACCCAGAGCACTCCACCCGGCGTGGAGACACCAAGATTGCCAAGCGCATGGCTGTGCTCATTTTCACTGACTTTCTCTGCATGGCACCGATCTCTTTCTTCGCCATCTCTGCAGCCCTGCATATGCCCCTCATAACTGTGTCTCACTCGAAAATCCTGCTCATTCTCTTCTATCCTATCAACTCCCTCTGCAATCCTTTCTTGTACACCATCTTCACACAAGCTTTCAGGAAAGACGTGCGTCTGCTGCTGAGTCGCTGTGGCTGCTGCAATTCCCACGCTGACTTCTACAGGTCACAGACTCTGGGTTCACACCTGACTTGTACCCAGAAAATGTCCAAAAGAGAACCTCACTCACTCGGCTTTTATGCCTATCACATCAAGATGAAGGGCTGCTTTCTAAATAAGGGAACCACATGACCAACCACATACACAACTGCGTAATGCACTGAAAGGCAACATCTGCCGCCTTACTAAAAATGTAGCATTTCTTCATAATGTAGATCTCATGAAAAGATTGTCAGTTGTGTGCATGGCAAGCGTCAGATCAAATTTGATCGTGTTTAGTTTGCAAACTAAAAACTGCATCAGACAAACGTAACAGGTGCCGCATCCTTCATTTCTGCAAATGTATTATGGTACATTAAAGAAGACAGATGGAACACGGATGGCAAAATAAGCTAATTTATTTTTATTAAAGCTACTCTATATTTAATTATATTAAAAATGAAAAATATTTACTGTTTGCTTTCTATAAGACTGAGGTTTCAAGTTATTAGAAAGTAATTAAATGAAGACTGATTTTGTCAGAGATGAGTTTTGGTGCCACCTTTTGGTTTGTTGTACTCAGGACAGATTTGGATTGGAAAGTTAAAAGACTGCACACATGCAGGAGCAACTCAGTTGAACCTAGAGCCAAGACCAAATAAATGGTACTTATATTTAACCTCCTAAGACCCGAACTCTTCCACTGCATACATTTTTAATTTCTCTTTGATATTTGGGCATATTGGGACCCGATGAATGTAAAAACAAAAGAATTACCAGATTTTTCTTTTAACCTTATTTTTGTTTTTAAGAAAAGAGCCAAATATGAGGATATTCGTTTAAAACTTCGATAGAACAGTAGCAGTATAATGTCCTCGTAAGTAGATATCAGGCCCCTGTAGAGCAAAATTCAGTAATTTGGTCTAAATAACCCAAAATGTGATGTCCACATATGTGGACGCCAGGTCCTAGGAGGTTAATACGTAAAATTATTTTACAATTGTTTAAATCATGTGTGCTTTTCTAAAATCTTTTTCATTTTTTCTTGATTTAGCAACAACTGTTAGGCCTACTAGTCAAGAATATTAAATGTCAGATCACCTTTTCTGTTCATGTTTTAAGAAAACTTGAATGTTTCTTAATCTGGCTTTTATGACTGAATCAATCAATGGTACACAAATGTGTTTTTGTTATAATCATTGCAAACTTTCCTGTATATTTTTTCCACTTTGTATTTCTTTCTGATATTTTACATGATTTAAAAAGGAAAGAAAATAAATAAATACTGACTTGTCTTTTTTTAACCACTACTGTGAATTTTAACCACTTCATGTTAGATTGTAAGAGTATGGGCTTTGTAATATATGCCTATGAGCAATCTTTTCTCTGAGTCTGAAAAAAAAAAGAAAAAAAAAAAAAAAAAAAAAAAAAACAGGTCTTCCAAAATTCTGTTTCCTCATCTTGTTGTACATAATCTGTTGTTAATTTAAAAAAATATTTTTTTTATATATATATATATATATATATATATATATATATATATATATATATATATATATATATATATATATATATATATATATATATATATATATATATATATATATATATATATATATATAAAATAAATGTGTCACAGGCTTTGAAGTGGTTTTCACAGAAAGAAGAGGGCTCATTAAACGCAGCACCACAGTACAGGTCAGTATATTTGGAGCATAATTAAAGAGACGTGACAATGTTTGAAAATCAAACAGCACGTTTGTTATCCTCAAACAATCATTGGAGGTCAAATAAAAGGTTTACTCTGCTTGTAAAGAATATTTTCACAAAGTGCAATACAACATAAATCCATGCTGTTTGACTCAGTAAACAGTATTTATAAGGAATGCTTTATGCAACTGGATGATATAAGTGACTTGTAGCATTGCTCTGATGATTATCTGGCACAGTAGTCACAAACTGCTCTGTGAGCCACATTACTACAACTAAGAATTTTAAATTCATTTTTAAATGATAGTTTCTCTTTCCCTGATCTGTTCAGGGGGACTAAGGTTCATTACCACTCTGCTTCCCCAACTGCTTTCGAAAACACGTAGTCCCTGCCGCCGTAGCACATCACTCCGTCCTTCAGGTGAAACTTCCAACGGTTCTTACTGCGGTGAATCTGCAAATGCAAAAGCAGTGAGTACAATATTCAGTTAAAATTCAGCAGTGGGCTTTGATGAGGTGAAAATAATGGCTAATAAAAAGACAGCAGTTCTTACTTTGTCATACTGGCAAACAATGACATTGTCAGTGTCAAAAAGGTCAGGGATGTCTTGCTCAATCACATCGTCACCTGAATTCAGAGGGTCCTAATCAACAGAGTGCGGAATGGAGGAAACAAATAGTCAAGTTATGCAATCAAGATATGCTCTTCGGAAAACCACCTGCAAAAATATAACTGAAAAATGTAATTTTAGGGAGAAATGCACGAATCTACTGGAGCTCTCCAAAGAAAGTTTTCTTTTAATGGAAAGAAATAAGCCATGACTCATGAAAATGCATTTCAAACTCACTCTCTCACCTCCTCCTCTATGTTAGCGAGTTCATCTGCACCTTCACCGTCGCTGCTGGAGGAGATGCTGTTGCCATCACTGCTTTCATTTCCTTCCTGCAGGGCCTTCATGGCCTCTGCATTGATTATACCCAGAAAGTCATTCTCTTCCAGGGGAACCTCCTCTTCCTCCTCGAGGTCAGAGTTGCCTGCAGGCCCATCGAGCTGAACGATGTCTGAGAACTGGCTGTAGCCCAGATCCAACTGAGAATGAATTGCAAGAAGAAACATCTCAGTTGTGAATTCGGAGAAATCAAGCTTATAAAAGGGAGCAACTGTCCTAATAAAATGACTATTGCTTCAGTAATTTAATATCAGAAACATAAAATGTCTCAAATTGACAGCACAGCAATCTGTGTTGTACCGCTAATGAATTTAAGATACGAATGCAGACTACGTTGATGATTTAGAAGCTTTGGGGAGAGGCTGATAAACTTGATGCTACCTGAATCCAGATGTTAAAATACAAGGTAAACCATTATTTCAAATTAAGGAAAATGGCACTCCAAAATCTGTCTTTTAAAAGTTCAAAATATTGATCTACCAGAAAAACATTTTTTGAGTCTCTCTTGTGGGTCAAGCATCCTAAATACTACAACTGTTACAGCCCTCTCCAGCTTACAAATAGCTATATCTTAAACTTTTCACCACTTTATTAAATCACTTAAAGTGCTCCTAAGAGTCTGATATTTTGTACACATTCCCCCCTTTTTGATTTCATGTGGCAGTACTTTGTGCCAGCCCATTAAATGTTACATAAAAACAGCATAAAGCTGCAGCTGTAGTCAAGCCTATATGCCTTATCCAGCATACAGAGTGATGAGTGCATTTCCCAAAATGTAGAACTACTCTTTAGACAATACACATCCACACTTCAATGACCTGATCTTTTCTATGCCTTAAAGTGATATTTGCTATATTAGACTGAGAATTCTTTCCAAATTACCCCAAGAGTCGCTTCAGACTGGCTGTCAGACTCCACAGGAGCTAGCTTCCTTGCCCATTCTGCTTTTTCTCTCTCCTCCTCAATAACTTCTTTCAGGATGTCATCAATGTCTCTGCTCTGAGCCATCTGTGCCAGAGCCTCCTCTCTTCTGATCTGGTAGTCTAATAACTGAGTGCAAGGTGAGGCGGTCGTGCTGAGGTTGGGTTGTGGATTTGGCTCATTTTCTTCCTGTGGGAAATCTGGCTCTGTAGACTGCAGGGGAAGGCTGCCCTCCTTACTGGAGGGTAAAATGGTCTTTGGCTGTGTGACAGACTGAGCTGGAACAGAGGATGTTTCTACCTCGTGGGGAGCAATAGGATTTGGTGGGACTGCAGTGGGCTGGGGGGCAGAAGCCTCCCTCCATTCAGTGACTTTCTGCATGGCTTGGGTTGCAGGCTGCTGACCCACTGGGGCCTGCGTAACCACAACAGGAACATTGACCTTGTAAAGTTGACCTTAGTGAGGTGATACAAAAGAGTGAAATGTTATTTTGAGAAGCCTGGCCAGGCTGGAAATAAAAACTGATTTAAGCTGTAAAGTCATTCCATACCAGAGGCTGTTTGTAGAGTGACTCCTGCTGGTATCTGCACGGGGTAAGCCAATCCAGCAGGGAGGGAAAAGGTAGCAAGTGTCTCTGAATTGTTCTGAAATAAAACATTATGTTGTGAGGAAAATACAAGACTAAGTATATTAAATAGCAGCTTTTGTACAATCACCTCCAAAATATAGACTTAATAATTATACACTGCGAGTCTTATCTCTTGAAGTAACTAACGAATACTGAGGTTTGCTTCATTATAAAACCACCTGCAGTTGTGGTCAAAAGTTTACCAACACTCATCATGGGCATAAATATAGTAATTCAGGGCTTTCAGTGATTTCTATGAACTGTTTTTTTTCCAGGTTAGATGATTGAACAGCAGGGTCACACACACAGGGTCCAGCAAAACAGTCCCAGAGCATGATACCACCACCACGCTTGACAGCTCACATGGAGTTCTTCCTATCTGACTGTGACAGTTTGGGTCTTCTTTCAGGCCTTGGAAAAGTAGTGATGCATCCAGGTAACTTGTATTTGCGTACAGTTGTTTGAACTGATGATCTTGGAATCTGAGGTTGTTGAGAAACAGCTCCAGGAGACCTTCAGACTTTCCCCATCTTGTGTAAATCTACAGTTCTCTTTTTTTAGATCTTTACCGAGTTCCTTGGACTTTTCTGAGAATTTGTCAGTGAAGTGGAAATCATTTCAATACTCAAAAAGAGGAACTGTGATAACTAATGAGAAGGGTTTTTTTGGTTTTCAAATTTAGACATAAAAATCAAAGAATTCAGCTTAAGAAAAATAACAATTCAATCATTACAATTTAGATACATTACATTAATAGAACTTTACTATGAAACACCAAACATGTCATCCAAATGAGAAAACTATATTCAGAGGCTGTCAAACTAAAAAATTTTTAGGGTGTGTCTGCAGAATCATGTTATAAAAGGTGGAGATAGGCAGCGGAAGAACAAACTAAATATTGGTGCCAGTATGATTGCCTTCTTTCATGGTGCAAGATAAGACCTTGGAGGACTGCCTTTCTGAGTGCCTTTCAAGTCATGTGCATCCCTCATGCAAGTAATTATTACACGTTATGGAGGTGATGTAAATCTCAATCACACTTGCCTTGACCGGGAAGCTGCGGATATTTTGATTTCCAGGGATGACAACTGAGGCTGAAAGAAATATTACCAAAAAAGTGAGTAATTTTGGCTATTGTGTACATATTAGTACAAAAAGCCATTCAAATTAAATTTATTGACCTTTGTCTTCATTTAAGATCCCCCCGTAATATTCAAGGCACAAAGCTTGCAGCTGTATTAATTACAAGAAGAGTTAAGGTGCTTCTTTTGTTGGTGAGCAATTTAAGCTTACCCGTGAGCTCTTGATCACTCTGAGTGTAGCTGGCAGGAAGCTGGAGCACAAAGTTGGATGGGTTGGCGTTTTTCCTTAAGCCTTCCATTGCTTTTGACTGCATCACTTTTGACTCCCAGAGCTGAACAGCAGAAGACACAGCAGTATGTCTTCCAGGTATGGTGCACACTCCCTCACTAGATGGATTAACTTTGCTGTCACTGACAACTTGAGTCAAGAGTGCATTATATTTATGCTTTTAGGAAAAATAGCAGTAGTAGTGTAGGGTTATTTAAACTCACATGTCTTAAATCATCCAGGACGCGGTCTTCAACTCCTTCATCCAAGAAGAGCTCTCTCACGCTGTCAATCACGTCATCGATTATGGACAAGTAGAGCTTGGCCTGAAGTTGTTTACGAAAGAGCAAGTCAGAAGGTGTCGGTGGCTAAAAATCCTTCACAGAAACTAGTTGTTATGAAAACATCCATAACAAGTCAAAAACGATTGTTTTCTGTGCCTCAGTGCTGGAAAATATAGACCCGAGGTGGTTTTCTAAGGATATCAACGCCACTCTTCAATCCGGGTGACATAAACAGGCGAGATAAATCTGCCATTTGCCATAACAAACGCACTATTGCACATCTTACTGAGCATCCCTGCAGATATAGTCAAGTAAAAATAAAATAAAATAGTAAAACAATATTATGAGCAGGCTTCTTATTGGACAAAAACCTAGCTGATCTTAACTGCCTTTTGTTTGTTGAGCGCATTAATCTAACTCACAGTTCGCGATCAGTTCGACCCGATTAACTAAAACGTTTCCGTTTCTTACCACTGGGCCTGTGTCGGTCAGCATCCTTGGAGAATGACTGGGGAACTTTCACACTAGACTTCTACCCATTTGGAAACATAATAGACAATTAACTGTGATTAAGTCGCATTGTTTTACACGAGGCATACACGCGCAGGTGACCGCAATCAGCATCAGGCGCGCAGACAGGTGCGTTAGCACGTGAGGTTTCTTTTTTGTTTTTCCCAGGAGGGGAAAGTGATTGATTTAAAATGTGATTTCAGGTTCTTGCTTCAAACAAGATGAAGGTTCAGGGCTTCCTAAGTGCACTTGTCATATTAGAGGTTTATTTCAGTGGAGGTTTGGGTTGAGGGGCTGGTGGCTGCTGGACCTCAAATAGCATGTTTTATGGCAACAACTCTAAAATCTGAGCACACAAGTCCTGTGATCTAAGATTAAATGGGAGAGGTGACTTAACTTGTCAGCAGTCCCTTAAATATCCCTGTCCAGCACTAATAACCTCTTCTTTCTCTAGTTTCCTGGTTACTTTCAGTAGAAAAGTTACACAGCTGGCACAGTGCTGGGAAATCAGTGCACTTTTCCTGATCCCAGGAGTGCACAATGCCGGTAGTTAAAAATATTCCACCCTTTACAAAACACTGTTTGAACTTGGTGTTCAATAGATTCAGAGCAGCAGCGGGAGCCGTGACCCCTGCTTCTTGCAAGTTGTCTGTTTTGGCGATGCTGGGACTCTTTCAACACTGTTGGTTGACAGCTCTGATGAGGATGAGAGCGATGCAGCTGAAAAGCAGCAACACGAGACACCCTTGTGGATACTGCAGTTGCTGGAAGTAAACAGGCGGTTTAGCTGTCACTTCACTACAAAGCTACTGTGGACTCGCATAGAGCCCTCACCTGAACTAGAAGAAAATAAAGGCCCTGTTTCCACATTGATATGAGGCAGTGCTGCATTAGCTCTCCGATGAGCTTTTTTTTTTTTTTTTTTTTTTTTTTTTAACCTTAGACAAAGAAAGTATGGGGTAATTTAAACTTGAGACTGGATTTATTCAGTGGAAAACCTTTATTCAGGCAGGCCGTGTTGTGACGGTTAAACAATGCTCAGTTGGTACTAAGGGATCCAAAGTGTGCCAATGAAATAAAAACATACCATGACACCACAAACACCTCCTCTGCACCCATGCAGACTCCTCAGACCATGCAAAGTTTTTCCAATCTTCTGTTGAACCTGTGAAAATTGCACTCTCAACTTCCTGTCCTTAGCTGAAAGGAGTAGTACCTGGAATGGTCTTCTGCGGTCATCCACTAATTGCAAGGAGCTTGGTAGTTTGATCTGTGGCTGATCCAGTGTGAGATACTTAAGCCCAAGTTGTTCTCCACATGTTCATCAGCATGTGAATGAGCTTAATAATATAAAGTGCTTTGAAGCACAGGCAAAGTAGAAAAGCACAGTTTAAGATCCAGTCCATTCACCATTCTTCTGCACATCTTGGTTGTAAATAGTCGTTAATTTAGATGCTGTTGCCTTCTTATCAAAGAATGGGGCAATTCTTCCTTGACCTGTGGTATCAACAAACCATATTGACCCAGGGAACTGCCACTCACTTTTTTAGACCATTTTCTATGAACTCCAGAGATGGTTTTATAGAAAAATCTCACTAGATCAGCGGTTTGTGAACTATTCAGAGCAGCTCGTCTGGCACCAACAACCGTACCACATTCAAAGTCACATAAATCACCTTGCTTAGTGTGAACATGCCTCAGCACACGGAGTTGCTGTCATGCGATTGGCTTAGACATTTGGATTAAGGAGTTGAACAATTGTACCTAACAAAGAGAGTGTATATTTTAAGACTATACTTAAGAGTTATGATTGTCAGTGACAAAATTTGAAAAAAAAAAAAAAAAAAATCATAACTGGACTTTAAGTGTTGCTGAAGGGCAGTAAAACTCATTTTACAGATTTAAGAAGAACACGTTTTCTTTTAAAGAGGGAGAGACTTAATAGATTGCATGTTGAGGCATTGGTTGAGAATGACTCATAAACACAGATGCCCTTATAAAACATACTGCATAATAAAACACCAGCAGTGTAGTGAAACAATACTGAAACTTACTGACTTCTCTGTCTGTACCAGCGTTCTGAGCAACTTCATGCAGCTGCCTGCAGCAGTTTATCATGGCCTACAAATCATACGTCTCAGCAAAAGCCTGCAGTGATGGGAAGCATTTAATTTTCACACTGTTTTGAATCTTAGTGAGGTGCAGGTTTATAACTGCTCTGCCCCCGTGTTGAGTAAATTACCAAGTGTGGAGAAAAAAACGAGTGCGAGATAACAGCTGTGAAAGAAGTACTACCATGACTCATTCTGGTTTAATTGCTTTTTCTTTTTTACTTTTGATGTATATAATATCCAGCTTAAGCCAGGTACTTCATACATAAAAGTTATCAATAAACACCTTTTTGTTCAGTATGGCCCTTCACCCCTTTTTTTATTATCATATATAAACCCGATTCACAACCCAGAGAGCAGAAAGATACAGAATTGATTTGTTTAAATAAAATTACAGTCCTCCAACACAACACAACCTCAGTATAAAGTCAAAGGGTCCGCTCAAGATAAACAATACTTTTGTTGCTTGAGACAAAAAGAAATCTCACTTTATATATTATCAGTACCCAATATATGTTGTGACGTTACCTAAACATCACCATTTTTTAAACACAACGATCCAACATTTTCGTGCCATTTCCACAAAGATTTTGTACAAATAAAAAAAAATTCAAAGTGTGCCAACTTTAAATATAGATGGACAACACAGTAGCACCACCCGTAGCATCGGTTGATATTTAACCTCTCTCTAAAGTAATGATCTCAAAAGGCCATTACTTAAGTTGCTTATATTAGACAATGTGTTTGGCGTGCATTTATTAATTGATGTTGATAATTCTGGAGGACAGTGCAGATATTGCAGATGAAAGCATAATCGTATAAGCTGTAAATCTCATACAATTTATAAATCTATTAAATGTAAAGTGCTAGGTATAAGGACTGTGTTAAATTGTTTATTAGGGCTAAACAAGTTCAGTCTCAGTTAAAGGATATAAAAATCATAGAACCTCCATCAGAAATGCTACCAAACTGCATGATTTTATGAATTCTAAAACCAGATATAAGCAGAAAGTCTCGCTTCATCCTGTTATTTTTAATATCCCTTCACCTTTAAGATTTTGAAAAACATTTTATAGGAATAACTTCCTCTACTAAGTGTCTTTAATCATCATTGCGTCATACAGCCAGACTGCCTCTGTGACTCTGTTTCAATCCATTTCTTTTCCACTTCCACCTAAGAAAAGAAAGAAAGAAAAAAGTTAGTTCCAATAAATTAAAAAAAAAATCGATCCACAATTAAGCACAGATGAAGATATTTTTATTTTTCCGTTGAAGCATCTCACCTGACAGTGATAGCGCGTCCAACTGGTCACATGTTTCTGCGGCTGGATGTCATTCACAGTGCCCAAGGATTTAACCCTGGTCTGTGACACAACCGCGCCCACAATTTCACATTCCATCGTGACAAAAGGGTACCAGTCATTTGGGATCTCCTGATCAGATCCCAGCTCCAGTTTGCAGGAAAATGAGTGGGGATGATCCAAGGCTGCAAAGCAGGAAAGAAAGGTCACTTGCAGCTGTCGTCGTACATCACAGCACGACAAACATACTGTGCATAGGCAGAAGGAGGCAAGAGTAAAAAGCAGTATGAGAAAAGGATGTGTAAGGCTAAATGTTAAGGGGGACCTATCATGCTCCTCATTATTTCTGTCACTTATGTACTGTTACAGTAGTCTCAGATTAAACATGGCTACACTTTCAAATAATGAGGTCAATGTATGTGTAAAGCTTCAGACTGCACCAAATACTCTTTTTAACTGGTGTCCTGTCTCTTGTCTCACAGAGCCCTGGCTGTGGACATTAAAGTTAAAGCTGCTGTTCAAACCTTCTGTTTACAAGGAGCAGCCAATCATAAGAAAGCTAGCTAAAAATGGTCGGAAACAGCATGTTTCAGACTTTGCACCAATGAAGCATGTAATCACAGAAAACTATCCAAATTGACAGAGCTTAAAACTATATACAGCTGGAAAAGTATAACAGGTTCCTTTTTGACCTGTCATAAGCGTTACCCATATTCTTTGCAGGCAGTCTGTCGATCTTCCACACGATCGCCGAATATACATTCTCGTACTTGACGGTGCCAATCGACACTTGCATGACAGGCTGTGAATCTGCAGCGGTGACTGAGCCCAAGCAGGCATTTCTGTTCATGCGGGCCTTTAAAGACCTCTGTCGCAGTAAGGCCACCGTCTGTGTCACTTTGACCCAGTCGCCTGGCACTGGAACGCGGATCACAACATTCTCACACAGCGGGTAGTGAGTGTCAGACTCCCTCATGCAAGAAAGGAACGTGGTTGACATGTTGAGAAAGGCCTGGAGCTCCACGTAGGCACCTTGAACCGTTACCGTAGCTTTGATTGAGAAGGGAATTTCAGTGCAACCTAGGACCCTTGTTTTGTAGCGCATCAGCTCCACTCTGCATGCATCAGGAGGCAAAAACTTGATCAGTCGCGACCTCTGAAACTCCATCTCATTCACGCATTTGTGGAAATGGTAGCCTGCAATCTCCATCCAGAGTTCACTGCCCTCCTCTGAGCCATAGCTGGAGTCAAAGTGCAGCAACCCGAGGTCATTAAGGGCAAGAAAACAGTCTCCTAGTCCGTTCAGAAAAGCAAGACAGTGAATCTGGGTGAAGGCTGTTTGCTCCATTACGCCCCCACACTTATCTAGCTGTATCCAGATGTGATCGGTGATCTGCAGCGACAGCTCCTGTTCCTCGTAGTGCCGCCTCTGCTGGTGGGGGACACTCAGTTTGAAGATCTCCTCCTCCATGGAGACCACCAGGTCCTCGATCTCATCGTGCACTGTGGAGCCAAACTTGAGGAGCTGCTCTACCTCAGCTTCGTGACTAACCTCGAACTTTGGGTGAAAGCGCTTCTTTTCTGTGTAGGAGAAATGTTCCACCTTGACTGTGAGGACTTTGCGGGGCTCGCTGTAGCTTTCCAGTTTAAGATCCGAGAGCCTGCAGTGAGGGAGAAGCTGAAATTCTTTGAA